ATGCAAAGAATTCTTGGATTACTTTAAAAAATATTTGATCAAACGGTCGGTCAAAATCGGTCAAAATCGGTCGGTCAACCGGTCGGTCAGAAACCTTTGACCGACCGATATCGGTTATGACTATGACCGGTCATGACCGGTCATGACCGTAACCATTAGCATCCCTAATCGAAAGGTTAGATTCGAAGATCTTATTTTTATTTGTAATATCATTTATTTAATTTATCCTCCATTTACTACTATTTTTTTATTTTTTATATTTAGAGTTTGACAAACAATAAAATATCCTATTTGTCTTCATTGCTACTATGATTTTTCAACCCATATTAATTTATTACCTTATCTTTCACAATAGGAACAATATTTTAAGATTAGATAAGTCCATCAAAAAGGTTTGTTAAACCTTTTGTTCCCAAGGTCTAGACGATAAATATCTGTGTAATTACCCTAAAGAATTTTAAGTATAAACCAATATTTATATCTTCATTTAAAATAGGACCCTATAGAATCAATAGAATGAATTTTTTATATAAACAAAAGGAAGACGACCATTTTCCATTTCCCAATAAGAAATCGCATCGACTTTTAAGTGACCCTTTGACCCTTCACGTTCTTTGTTTTTACTCCTAACCTTTTTTTTTTCCTTCACAAAAAAAATGAAATGAAGAGAGTGATTTCTTTGAAATTCATGTCATGTTTAAGCTTGATTAAATTATTTAACATTTAAGATTCATGATAAATCATGAGTCATCTCTTTTAATTTTTAAGAAACAAATCTTTTATTATAAACAAGCATTCTTTCCTCACATTCTATCCTTTATAGTAAGAATAGTTCTCCCATATTGAGAGAGAGAGAAGCGTGATGACAAACCAGAACGAGTCTTTATGATTAAATTTCATTTGGTAAGGATGAAAAATTTAATTAAAAACTTTCCCCCTTCGACCTTTCTTTCACGGGCCAATCAGAACAATGTTACTGCGTCTTTGACCGCAGCTAATGATGCGCTAAATATTGCACAAAAATGTCGTGCAGTATGAAGCTCAGTTGGAAATATGCAGGGCCATCACCGCAGTTATCAGATCGAAACAGTAAAGGTTATTAAGCTCGGCCGATAATGGAATCCCTTTTTTTTTTGTGAATCTAGAAAAAATTAATTTGGTTAATATAGTCCGTGCATAATCATAAGTGTCTTACAATAAGAACAATAAAAACGAATTCAGAGAAAGAAAGGATACGCTGTCGGACAGAAGTTTTTTTTTTGGAAAGAAAAAAGGAGGATATAACCCAAACAAAAAAATTTTTTTTTCTTAAATTTACAACGAATTAAAGGATCACAAAAAATGGTTTCTCTGGAAAAAAAGAAAATATTAAGCCATAACTGTTTAAGAAGGGTTACCAAAAAGAATTCTATTGAAATTGGTCACCGAAATTCCTGGCGTACATTAAAAAATATCACAACTTTTTAAAGTTAGTTCATCATAATTTGATTTAACGCCGCAGCAGTCCTACTGTTTTAAATTTTTTTTTGTGTCCGAGAACAATATAAATATCCCCTCGATTTTTAGTTCAAAAAGTTTTTTTTTGAACAATCAGGACTGTAACTTAAAAACAATTTAAAATAATTTTTTTACATGCAAAAAAAAAATTTCTTTTTCTTTCAAACGGTTTTAAAGGAAATATCGAATGTTGAATTGGTTAAACCCTTTAAAATAAAATCTTTTTCTAAAAATTTCAAATTCGAACAAATTATATAATTAAATTAACCTCGAAATTTGTTTAAACAATAAAAAATATATATAAAATTAAAGAAATAAAAATCCTGTGAAAGATTCCAAAGCAAAAAAATTTGTGTCAAAAAAAAACACCCCCACTTCTTATTATTATCTTATTCAAAACACTTTTTTTTTAAAAAAATAAAAAATAATGTTTGGAGCGGCTGAATCTGGTAATGATAAAGTATCATTCAAATTTAAAGTTCCGGCTAAATTAATACGAACGCAACGATCGATATATACCCCACCATTCGCTACGACACAAAACATGTTTTGGCAATTAAAATTTCATCCGGTATTATAATTATTCTAATTAAACGAAATCCAAACCAAAATGTTTTCATAATATTAAATTATTCATTCTAACCTTTCATTTTGTTCTTTCATTTCTTAAATTAGGAAAGTAAAGATCATAGAGAATTTTGCGCACTTTGGCTAATAGCCTTACCAAACCCATTGGAAAAATATTCATCAGAAAATTGGTCAGATAGATCGGAATATTCCGTCACATATTTCATGAAAAATCCTAATGAAAAATTGAATTTTGGAAAATTAGAAAATTATAATGCCAGATCACCCGTTTGGGGTTTTACGAAATTTTGTAAGAAGGAACGATTACCAAGAGAAGGTGAAATAACTATTGGGGTTAGATTTAACAAAGTAAAGTATGAGATCGAAAAGATTGCCACCCCTCTCCCTTCTCAACCACTTCCTCAAGATTTATTAAAAGCTTGGAAATCGGAATTGGATCAACCCGAAATTTCTGATGTTCAATTTAATTTCAAGGAGGGAACTTTATACGCTAGAAGTACGATATTAATTGAACGTTCGGAATATTTCAGGTGCATGTTTCAACAAGATAAATGGTCCGAATCAAAATTTACGACAAAATCTTTGATATCGTCATCGATGCAAATAACGCAAGCCAAATCTTGTAATTCAACGAAACGATCGTGGAATCTTCTTGATGTCTCATTTGGTAGAATGAAAAAAGTTGAGGATTTGTTTTCCATATATCGTAAGATGAAACCACAACCGATGACAACCATAACGTCATCAAGTGGAACCACCTGTACGATAGTGTATGAAAGTGAAAATTCAAACTCCATAAATGTTCCAAAGAAATATTTGGTAAACGTAATTGATTTTCATCTCGACACATTTAAATCCATGTTAAAGTTTCTATACACGAATCAAATAGAATTTTACTCGAACTCATTACACAGACGACCGATAGATGTATTTGTAATGGCAGATAAATATTTAATAACCGAATTAAGGGATCGTGCCAAATCTAAAATCTTGAAGGATTTAAAACCCGATAGTGCCGCCGAACTGTTATTTAGCACAGAGTGGTTATGGTCCGATGTGAAAGATATGATTATGAGTTATGTTGTAAGGAAGTGGGAAGTGGTTAGGGAAACCGACAAATTTAGAGAAATATTGGAGAAACCTCAATCTTATCCTAATTCTAAAGAACTCGTTGAAGAAATTCTTGAAAAGGTTAGAAAGAATGACGAGGAAAAAAAAAAGCTTCTAGACGTGGTTGCTGTCGAGTAAGTTAATATTTATTAGGGTAATGTGTCGAATGACTTTGTAAATTATTTTTATCACCTTTTACATACTCATTATATATCTCTAATTAATTACCGTAAATGTGATGGAAAAAAAAAAGTAAAATTAGTTTAAAGGGAACAAAAAAAACTTAATGTACATAGATAGAATAGCATCTATTATCTAGAATCTATTATCCAAAAGTAAAATAAAAATATTAATCTTACATTTTCAGAACAACGAAAACGAACAGATGAAAATTTTAATGTTACGCGTTTTAAAGATTGAAAATTTATTTTTTTTAAAATGATTCAAAATTAAAATTTATGACAATTATATTTACATCAACAAGATAAAAAAAAAATTTCAAAAAAAAAAAAAATTTAAAAATTATGATCCAACGGTCGTGCTTACAGCATTTCTTAATTTCAAGAATTCCTCGGTTGCAATAACTTTAATATGAGACGATTGAACGTTTGTTATTTTTGTTATGTTTGTTGTCATCATTAAATTATATTCACTGTAAGCAGAAAAAAATTGTTAGCAAAACGACGATCCTTAATTAAAAAAAGTCAATAATATATATACTCACTCCGAATTAATTTCATCACCGACGACACCCCAATTACCGTTACCGGCTCCAGATTTCTTTGGCAGAGCACGAATGTCAGTTAATGTGCCTCTTTAAAATAAACAATAAAAATAAGGTTATCCATTTTGGTTTAAATTCAAATAACAAATTTGTTTTTTTTAAAAAAATTCCTTTTTACAAACCGTTGATGATGCTTTTCTTGATTGATGGAGGTAACGTGTTGTTTTTTGCTATCAGTAATCATTTTATTTATTTGATTTATGAATAAGATAAATTCTTTCTTTGAAAAAATTCGTCGATTTATATGAGAAATTTTTTTGGCGTGTGAATCACCCAATTTCTTTATCTTTGTGTATGGGAATAATCGCGCCATTTCTTTTTGAGTATGTAAACCAGTTATGGGTTCAAGCTTGACCAATCATCAATGATCGTATCTTTTTTTAGTAGCTCATATGATCTACACAGCATTGATCACGCATGTCGATAATGTTGATAATGAATCAATGTTATTGTTATCCGTCCCCCAACATCTGCTTTTTTTTTCTAACAATTAAAGCCTTTGTGGTGTAATCAGAATGACTCATGATGTTGTATCTGATGATTATTTTTGGGTAAATCAAATAGAAATAATATTATTTTTCAGCAACAATTATTGATTTAATAATAATAAATTGAATTTTATTATTAAGTCATATAAGTCATGGGTTCTTTGATTTTCATATAATAAATTTTTTACAATACATACAATATGTCGCTCACAGATTAGATCCCATGAATCTTTGATAGTTCACGATCACAAAAATCAAATTTGGCAGGTTAAAAGTTATAAATTATGAAAATATGTTATAGAAATTACAATTATTTTTGTCGAGGTGAGGTTAATTATATTTTTGGGGTATTCAAAAGATCAAAACTACAAGAATTAGGAATAAAAAAAATGGTAATAATTTTTTTATATCAGTATATCTCATTATTTCTTCCTCCTAATGAAATATAATTCGTGTTATTGATTTTTTATGAACAAACCAAATTACTTGGGAAGAATTTTAATTTTATTATATTGATTAGCGTCAAAAGGTTCGGAATTCCGCAGCACCGCAGCACGCGTCATAGCTACACGATGTAACATAACTATTTAAAGCAATAAATCACATTAGTCTGACAAAAATTTTGATTAATAACGAGCAACAAGGATCATAACAAAAAAAAATTTTATTCTTCCTGAAATGTCTGCTGTTATATTACCAGAACTCTGTCTTATAAAAATATTTGAAGAATTAAAAAATAATTTCGTTTCTTTATATTCCTGTGTTCTTGTCAATCGACACTGGTGTACTTTGGCTTTACCAGAATTATGGAAGAATCCTTTTGATGTCATCAACGATTCGAACCTTAAAGGGGTTATAAAGGCAAACATTCGTCTATTAAACACTTATATCTCCTGTTTATCTGAAGATACTAGAAAAAACTTTGGATTAAAATCATTCACCAAATCTCCCTTATTTGACTATGGAATTTATTTGCAATATTTACATTTGAAAATCATTCATAAAAGTATATATATTTGGCTTAACTTTGGTGATCCGGTAGTATTTAAACTAAAATCAACGACAAAGAAAAGAAAAGTGTCGATTGATGATGAACAAATTCTCAAAGCTTTATGTGAATATTTCGTTAATCGTTCAACGCGTATCAAGGGGGTTGATTTGTCCTACGGTACTTATTTAAATGTCTTTGATCTTCCAAATGCCGACTTGAACTTATTACGACTTCAAAACTTCAAGTTTGGAATGCAATGTAATAGTGGCGCAGTCTCTTCGGCAGCAAAAATCACAAAAAATATCAGCACATTAGATATAAATTTAATAGATGCTGCTCCTTACCCGAAGTTAATTACAAGTTTAAATGATATAGTAAGATTAATCAAGTCTCAAAAAAACTTGAAGCAAATTACGCTGTGCTGTTCGGTTTCGGATTTTTCTGAAATCATAAATAGTCTCTCTATTCATTATGAAACCTTAACTCACATTAATCTTCATCATATCAATTTCGAATATGATTTTCCTCTTGCTGAATTTGCCGAATATTTAAACTTGAATTACTTGGAAATAGATAATTGCAAATTTATTAGAGGAAAAATGACAAAGCAAGATTTAAAACCGTTTCAAAAGCTCCATTCAATATTGATCAAGAATACGAATTTACCTTTTGAAATCTTGGAGTACCTATTTTGTCAAGCTAATAATTCTCTTCAAGTATTGGAATTATCAGCAAACTCCACTGATTTCGATAGGCTTGAAAATATTTGTCTCAAATTTTGTCCGAACATTAAGAAATTTATAACAACAAAACAATCTTCATATGATCACATAATCTCTATGGTAAATGCTTGCAAGAATCTTGAAGAGATTTATATCTATGAAGATCAAGAAGATTGGCATGAGGGAATGTTCAATTTGCATTTGAGTTGTAATTCAGCCGACGCCAATAAATTCCTGAGAGCTCTCGGAAAAATCTTGCCAAGTTCAGTACATACCATTAAATACTCATTGGATTGGCCTTTTGATCCAAAATCTCTCGAAATATTTCTTGACCATTTCCAACCTAGAAAGTTTATGTTACTAGAGTTTCATGACTGTTCGTTTTTTTCGGATAAACATTTAAATGTGATAATCAAGGTTTGTGGCAAAACGTTAAAGAAATTACACATTGATGGGATGCATAATTTGCATCACATATACGTCCTTGAAAGGAGACATCAATTTCTTGGAGAACTTTACGTAGAAGAAGTTAAGTATAAAAGATGGTTCGTTGATTCTCAATGTTTATCAGTAGTTCATTATTAAAGGATAAAACGCTTAATAAATTTGTAAAACGAATTCAATTATATTTGGAATATTATTATCAGAGACGCTTAATATATGTATAATTATTCATTAAATTTATTTTCTGTGTATTTTATTTTTACTCTTTTCTTGAGAAATCTTGTCATATAATTTCATTTTTCCAAATTTTTTCGCGCCATATAACATTGAATTAAACAAAGGTTCTTTTATAACAGCCCGCATCTTAAGTTTTTCGTAAATATCCAAACATTTCTCCATTGCATCATCTCTATCGGAATCAATTAATGCACGAATTAAAGAGATGGCTCCATGAAAATGAATTGGCTTATTTTCCAAAAAAATTTTCTCGAATACTTCTAACCCTCCTTTTAAATCTTTATCTTTAATATGTACCAATAATAAATTTTTATATGTGATTCCATCAGGTTCGATATTTTCATCCAATACTCTTTGATAAATTCTCTTAACATCATTTAATGTGAAAGAATCTGCATTCTTAAATTTTTCCAATAAATCGTTATAGATGGTTAGGTCAAGTTTTAACCCGTAAGAAGGCATATTTTCCACGATTCTCCTCACTTCCTCAATTTCTCCAAATTTAATTAACATCTTCAATGTATCCAGATTTGGAATTTCATGATATCTGATTAATTTTTGACAAATTTCTCTAACTTGTTGTATATCTTTGATATCAACCAAAACTTTATTTACGATGTGATAAATGTCTTTGGAAGGAATTAATTGATGAGATTCTATCAAGTTATAAAATTCCAACCCACCTTTAAAATCATTATTTTGAAAATACCCTCTTAATAACAAATTTAAATGATATGGGTGAGGTCTAACGCCATTTGAGATCATTTCATGAAATATTTGTAATGCCGAAAAATAATTTCCTTTACTTGCAAAAGATTCTATTAAATTCAATGAACCGGTTTCAATTGCAAAATTATAATTCCTCTTTCGCATCGTTTTATATACATTTCGTGCAGCTTCTAAATATCCATATTTTAAAAAAGTTGTAAAAAGTTGTCGTAAAAATTTATTGCTAACTTTCATCGAAATCGTTGGATTATTATTAAATTGAAGTTTGGTCAATAATTCATATGATAGTTCAGGGAGAACTTTGATATATGTTGATAATTTATCATTTTCACCGGAGTATATCAACCTTCTTATCAGGATAAAACAGATGTACATGTTTGGCTTTATCAAAAACTCTTGTCTCATTTTTTTATATAACCTCATGGCTTCGTTCAAACTTTTAGAAGGATTTGCTTCAGGTCCAGGAAATCCAAACTCACAAGATCCAATTTTCATCGTTATTAAATGTTGAAAAGTTAAAACGTTTGGTTTTAAATTTTTTCTTTTGATCATTTCATCAAAGTATATACTTGCGAGATGTTCATCCCTCCGTTTCGAACAAGATAATAACATCCAATTATAAGTGTCACTTGTGGCATTCCAATCACCTTTTACGAAAAATCGGTCAAAAGCCCATTTTAAATCCTGGGATCGATCATTTAATGCACAACGTTTAATAAATTCATCAACATGTACTTTTAAAGGTTTGTGATTCAATTCAACCATCTCCCTTAAATTATGATTAATGGATCCAATATCATTGATCAAAATACTTCCACGTATTAAATAAATATAAGTCTCTCTAGTCGGTTTATATCCTAAATCTAATAAAATATTAAACCACCTTTTAACGTGATTCATTTTTCCTAAATTGCTATAATCTCTTATCAATTGTTGTAATGTTAACCTTGTAGGGGTGAGACCAAGATTTTTCATTTCCATAAAGATTTTTTGATCTTGATTTATTAAATGTTCATTTGACGCACAATTTTTTAATATTATGTTATAACAATTGGAATTTAACGTGATTCTTGACCTTTGTAACATTTTTCGAAACCATCGTGATAAATTTAAATTGGTTAATTTATTTTTTTGAAATAATCTAATGAATATTCGTTCTATATCTATCATTGATAATGATGATGCTTGATGTTGTGGTTGTGGTTGTGATTTGAGAATTTTCACGTTATTATACATGTAAACTCGTAGCAACTTCCAAAAATCTTCCGAATCTTTTTTCGTTAAAAGAAAAAGTCTCAACCTCCATAAGAATTCTTCATCATTAAAGGTCGTCAGATGATAATTATCATTCGAATCTTTAGGGTTGACCTTAATCATCTCATGATCTTGAGTTATCGTTGTAGTTGATGAGAATCTTTTCAAAACGATACATTCATTTTCCAACGCATTAAACGATGATTGCAAGAAATTTGTTCGAAGGTACTTTAAATAAATAAGGTTCTTTGTCCAATGATAATAATATTGATTTTGTAAAAGCTTCAAAGTTGATGAGATTTTTGTGTTATTTAATAAACTAATGTTCTTCATTATGTATGAATCAAAAAGGTCAAAAAAGGAGATCGATTATCTTTGTAATTAGAAAAAGTCACTAAACCATATTTATTTGATGATGATTTGACAGTCTCCGGTGTAACATATAAAATAATGTTTTCTGATTACAGTCAAAGTTGGATATAATGATACATTTGTTTTACTTAAAAAATATCAGTATAATGAGATATCATTATATTAAAATAATCTTTATTAGCGATATAATAAAAATATATATATATATCGATTTTCTACTACGATCATTGACATAATTCATAAATTGCTCTACTTTTTATAATTTAAAATTATATATTATTACTTCGTAAAGTACGAACTGCTAAAAGTTGATTTAATTCAACAGCAAATCCATCAGGTGCATAAGTTATAAAAACCCTAAAATATTATCTAAAGCATATAATGCAGTAATAGCAGAAATGGATTGAACTTGGTGATTGTATTTCTAATGTAATAATAAAACATTTATTATTTTCAGTAATTGCTATAGCGTTTCCAGCTATTAGCATTAGCATCCCAACAATTTATTGGATCTCATTTCATTTAGTTTTATAATCATTACTGAATCCACTTTCGCAAAATAGGTAAATCTTCAAAATCTTCGAATTGAATCATTTAAAAAAGGTTATAAACGTTATTTATTTGTATTCTGAAAAGTATATTGTTTATATGAAGATTGCAAGCTTGTTCATTCTTAATTTTGTTGTTAAAAAGTTTTGCATTGCAAGGACAGCATCATTTATTTCCTCTATTACATATGTCTGTCACTCGTCACAAAAGCTATATTTCTGGTAATATTTGGTAAATGTGTTATCGAATACGATTCTCTCGAGATTATTCACAATTACTCTATTAAAACTCGGATTTCTTGTCCAAGGAAATTGTCCACCTGCGAATATTAATTTACCTATTACAAGGAAGTTGATTGTAAGTTAAAAATACCCCTCTAAAAAAAACCGAAGTACCTAAAATGCATTTAAAAACAACATAAATCTAAATAACGTTAGTACTCTTAATTTATTCTTTAAAAGCAACGAGACGGTTGGATAAAGATCACCTCAAAAAAAAATCCTCCCCCACTAATTTTTGGCCGGCATTATAGCACTTGGCCGAAATTAACCATGTGACAAATAACGTGAGACAAATTTCTATGGTCACGTGGGAATGAAATTTTGTTGTGATACTGGGAGATGGAACATAAAACATTTACCGAATTCGAGCCAATAAAGAAAATATTAAACTACGAAACCTGGTTATTATATTGAGAGTGAAATTTTCTTTTCTTTTTTTTTTTATGTCTCAAAGAGTAACTAACCCTATGGGCCTGCACAATGCATTAATAAAATAGAAAATTTTTATTTTTGATACATACATTTACATATGATTAATGAAAATATTTTACACAACGTAATAATATGACAGCTAAAATAATAAAGCAAGCGAAAACTTTATTTTTTATAAAATTTAATCAAAAAATATTAATGCAATAATAAATTGTTAAAATGAATTTTTAGTAATACTTTAATATTACTCTTTTTAATTCTCATAAATCCAAGTAAAACCCATTAATTGCTCCAGCGGGGGTGGGTTAAAGCCGTGTTCGATCACGTGACTAATCGATCGGCGGAGCACGTCGGAAGATCAATAAGTCACGTGAATAACAATAAATAAAATACTTGCATAACGCGCATAGTTTATTTTTCCCAAGCCACCATAATGATCTTTTAGATGTAGCGAAGGACTTCTATATTATGTGAAGTTCTAATTTCAATAAATATTTGTTAGCAAGAATAAATATGGGAGGAGATAATTTCTTATTTGAAGTTTTTTTTTTGTAGTTTCTGTTAATAAATATTACTTTCTTTTTTAAACTTTGCTAGTAAATATAATAATATAGTAAAAGTTTTGGAGTTTCTCTTTTTTTTTGAAGTTACGTTTTCTTCGGAAGTTTTTTCCAAAGTTTTATCTTCAAAGCTTTTTTTTCTTCGGAGTTTTTTTCCACAAAATAACACTCACAATTATAATTAGTGTTCACAAAATAACATCAGACTTTTTTATTAATTTCGAAGTTTTTTTTTTTTTGACCTTTGGATTTTTTTTTCCTTATAAAATCACTCTATATTAGTATTAATACAAGGGCAATTCTTCCTCTCCGCACATTTTATCCTCAATATCATACTCATTTTCCAATTTTTCCAAATCAATGACCCCCTTTGCTTCTAATAAAATAAACTTACCTATATCTGAAGTCTTAACTCCTAACCAAAGACATATGCATCTTTTAATGTTAACCATTCATTTGAGATTTTAACGGAAGAGTTTGATAAGGAGTGGTGACCTCTTGTATCAAATGTATGAACTGGATATAGCTACAAAAATAATGTTAACGGTGATTCTTGGAAAGTATTTGCTTGTCGTTTTAATAAGTATAACAAATCAAGCATCCAGAATGAAGATATTCCACATAACAAATGTCGTATAATGAAAATTCAGTCAGATAATATGTGTTTCGCAAAATCAAGGTCTAACGTTATACTTCTGAAAAGAAAGTAAGAATTAAACGGTTTAGAGATTCATTTGATCATTCACATTCTCTAGAGGAAAGTGAAAAACTCATGCGTTCAAATTTTGTTCGAGATTTAATTATACAAGAAGCCTCAAAAAATTATCAACCACCAGAAATCTTAAGTGCAATAAAGGAGTATGCAACTGAAAATCTGGATTTAGGAGAAAGTGTAAAAGAGTTGAGATCGAGAGAGGCTGTAAATATAAAATATAAAATTTGCAGGTTTCTTGATATACATCTCATTGGCAATCCTAATCAAAAATTAGATATTCGAGATGCTATTTCCTTTTTGAAAGAACAAGAATACTTGGTTAAGTTTTATGAAGCTTCCTACTGGTCTACCTATAGTTTCGTTTTTATACACCCAAACTAACTTAAAAACCTTGAGCAACATGGCTGATTAACCCTTATAGACTCTACACACAAGACCAATAAATATGATTGCCGTTTGTTCACCTTGTACATTCGTAATTACTATGGATGTTGAGATGTTGAAGCCCATTTCTTCGTAAGTAATGAAGATAGTGATACTATTGCACAAGGCTTGAAAATAATTAGATGATTTGCACGTAATTGGAGTCTAACATATTTTCTTTCTGATCAAAGTAATGTAGAATCAAACAGCATCAAAATGACTTTTCTGGGTCTCAAAAATGGCGAACAAGTGTGTGATGTTTTTTTTTGTACAGTCCATGTCATGCAAACTTGGATGAGAAAGATTTATAATAAAAAGACATAACAGAAAATGATTCATGTCATGCATAAAAGGACTAGAATCAGTTGTGAAGATCTTATTCAATAAGTAATCAATGAATGCTCAAACCCAACTATCAAACAATATATTTTAAGAAACTATGTAAGGAATACACATTAATAGGCAGTGTTGGCTATACTTATAAGTCCAATAAAATTGAATTCTATTGGACTTATAAAATTATTAAGTCCAATAGTCCAAATGACGGAGTTTTTATAAGTCCAATTGGTCCAATAGCCATCACTGTTAATAGGCACTATAGGTGTGACAACATTCTCCTCTTCTTTTACAGGTTACCTCAATAAATGCTTTAGAGTTCTATCATAGTGAATTAAAGAGAACAATCTCCTCACAATATGGTTTAATTGGTAAGTATATATTTTATTACAATTTTTATATTATTACATTATAATTTTTAATAATTAATCAAACTTTGACAAAATCTATTAGGTGCATGTCATAAGATAGTTGAATTTAATAATAAAAAGTGTTCCGATTCAGAACGCGTTGCCTATGAATTTCGCATTAAAAAAATTTCAGTTATTGGTGTTGGTGATGAGATTCTTCAAGAAATTTATAAATTTCCATTTCCTGTTCAACAAATGCTCATTAATGAATATTATGCTGTTGAAGAATAATTAAAAAAAGGCAAAGAAGCATCAGGTCTTACAACTTTAAGTTGTAATTGTTTATTTTTTCACCGGTACTTATTACCTTGCCGCCATATATTTCATGAAAGTATGTAGGTTTTACAAAACTTTTAACATCAGATGTGTGAGAGAAGTTTTAGTAGATATTTGATGAGGTTGGATTTGACATATATATGCATCGAGAATTGGTTGATTTGAAGGTACCTAGGATGACCGAAGCTGAGAAGGAAATGGAAAATCGATGGCTAACTATAAATGAATTAACAGAAAGAATGTGTGATGTATATTGGAGGGTTGAAGAAGAGGTGATATAAAACAATCTGATGCATTTATCAATGAATTAAAAGATCATTTGGAACCAATTTTAAATAAAGAAAATTAATAAATTTTTTATTATTATATATATTAATTATTTTTTGATTACGTAAAAAACTGTTTTATGATAATAAAAATATTCGTATCATTGGCTCATTATGGTGGCTTGGGAAAAATAAACTATGTGTATTATGCAATATTTTATTTATTATTATTCACGTGACTTATTCGATCTTCTGACATGCTCTGCTGATCAATTAGTCACGTGATTGAACATGGCTTTAACCTACCCCTCCAGCGGGAATACTACCAGGAGAACCATTAAAATGTTCAACGGCAGGACTATGCAATTGATAATTCAGAATACCAGGAGCATTGTAAGCAGTTGCTGAGAACCCAAAGCCAGTAATGTTAGCATAACAGTATTTGTAAGAACTCCTATTGTATTATAATGGAGAGGTGCTGTGCTAAAAGATATGACATTATCTGGCACTATATTATTTTGATTTGTACGTAGGTAGCACATTGCAAGCATTGCCATTGTACCATCCTAACATTATAAAAATATTTTGATTGCAATATAAATTTGAATAGTCATTCGTGAAGAAAAATAACCAGTCGAAAGACTATGTAAACTAGGAATAGTCTCACTGTTGCCAACTTCAACAACCAATGTTGGGGTATGCATTACCCAGCAAACTAAATCACTGACCAGCTGGAGGTTTAGGAAGATCTTGTGGTTGGATGGCAACATCAGCAATATAATAACTATTCGGTCCTACAATAAGATTCTCTTCATTTATGCCATCTAATTGATTATTTCAAGAATATATCAAGATACCAATTCTGAAAACTACCGTTCTATGAGGTGAGAGAGGTACTTCGTAAGCTATAATTTTTCCATCAATCAAACAAATACTAACAGGAAGCTTTCGTTCAGTTTTGTGATACTTGATGTAGGCTTCAAGTGACACATTTTCCTTGATAAGTATTGGCTTCATTTCCTCATTCACATTCATTTTTCCTTTTGGAATGCAAGCAAGATGTCACTGAATTGATTAAGGCGATCTTTGCTCAACCGTAGTAAAGTCGAATGCATATGGAAAGAGGTTGTGGCAACAGTCGAACTAGATCAGGCAAGATATAAAAAAAAGTATAATTTAGAGATTTTATTGTTAATATAATTAAAAAAATGGATAGGAAAGCAGTTGCATATAACTACTTTGCAATTGTAGAGGCAGTAGTAAGACTTGCAATAAATGAGATACTTAAATATGAATCATACATTATGCTAGCGGAAAAAAGTATACAGTGAACTCTTGATATAACGAATTCTAGGATCTGGATATCAACTTCATTATAAGCTTATAACGAATTTTT